GTGGTTAACATAACAATAAAAAAATTATTAAAAAAAAAAAGATACTCATTTTCGTCACCTGAAAAGTCAAATAAATGAATTTAATAACAATCTAATCTCGGGGCACCTGGGTAGCTCAGTCATTAAGCGTCTGCCTTTGGCTCAGGTCATGATCCCAGGGTCCTGGGATTGAGCCCTGTATTGGGCTGGGCTCCCTGCTCAGCGGGGAGACTGCTTCTCCCTCTCCCACTCCCCCTGCTTGTGTTCCCTCTCTCGCTGTGTCTCTCTCTGCACCCCCCTCCCAAAAAACCTTAAAAAACAACAACAACAATCTAATCCCATAATAAAAGTCTCTACAAAGTCCTTATCTTTTAGGGTCTGGCCTCAGTTGAGTATTTTTCAATTCTTAAAGTTTGGATTTGGAATCTTCATTACTTATTGAAAAACTTGAATTTTCATTTCTTCCAGCAGTGCGTTGCCAGCCGTGGGATGGTAATTTAATGATTACACTGCCATTAAGCTGGAAACACAAATGTGGACATTTGACAGTAACATTTTTCCCTTTCAAAGCTGCTTCAAGTAAATATCAATGGTGTATCCAAGTAAATTAAGTAATTATTGAAAAAGCAAATGATGTATATTTTTCAATGAATATCATGTTTATTTTAAAACTTTCCAAAAAGTTAAAAAAAAAAACTATTTAAAACCTCTTTTTCTCCTCAGTCTGAGACAATTATGAAATGTGACAATTCTAGTGTGTCTCTAAGAAAAGCTTAATACCTCAAAAATGCTTAACTTAGACTACAGCACATTAGCATTAGATCCTGAATGGTAGTGAGTTCAGTGGCTCCCCAAGTGTAGCCCCAGGGCCAGCAGCTGCAGCACCACCTGGGGGCTTGTTAGAAGTGCAAACTACCAGGGCCCGCACCACCTCAGACAACCACATCAAAAACTTTGGGGGTGGGGCTCGGCAATCTGCTTTAACAGCCCTCAAGTTACTAGGATGCAGGGTTAAATCTGAAACCAATGGGGCAAACCAACTGCATTGTTTGGATTTTTTTTTTAAAGATTTACTTATTTGAAAGAGAGAAAGAGAGCACACGTGGGGGGGGGCGGGTAGGCATAGAGGTAGAGGGGGAAGGGAAGCAGACTCCCCACTGAGTCTGCAGCCCACCTTGGGGTTAATCTCAGGACCTGAGATCATGACCTGAGCCAAAACCAAGAGTTGGACTCTTAACTGACTGAGCTACCCAGGTACCCCTCATGGAGTTACTTATTAAGAACTGATGAATTTTGGAAGATATGACTGGCTCATGTACAAGCAAATCTGTGAAAATATAAGCTGTATAGTTAAGGGGTCTGCCATGCCAAGGGCCTGGGCTGCTCTCAAGCCCACATACAGTGGCATGCAGCCAAAGTAGAGAATTTCATTCTATAGAAGAGGCCAAATCATTGCTTGGCTCTTCCTTCCAGGATGCGGGTAAACACACCACAGCCATACTTAATGAGGAGTGAAGCCATTTATTGATCTGCAAAAACTATCTGACATTAAGTAAGTCCAACCTTGTGCAGTTTAAATTGCTTTTTTCCTAAATAAAACAGTAACCTGCAATACATGTGTTTTATTACTGCTGGAGTCTGATATTCTAACATCCACTTTCAACTGCCAATGACAAGACTACTCTTTCCAGGAATATATCACCACTATTCTACTTGCTCTGCTATTATATGGATTTAAGGAAAACAGGAACTTGCTAGCATTTTGACAACTATTTTGGGGTTATGTAAAAATCTTATTTTTGTAAAGAATATATATATAAAACTTCTTAACATTTTGCTAGAAAAAGTGAAGGCATTAAGTGTTCACTTAATTTTTATTTATACTGTTCTAACAGAAACCTGGTGAGAGGATCTGCCCTATCATAAGAGTTTGCTGTCTTTACCAAAGAAAAGGCCAGGCCTGGTAGAGAAGGCTTCCTGTAAGTAAGAAGGAGGCAGACTTAGAATCAGATCAAAGAAATATTCAGGGCATATCTTTGTTTAAAAATAAAAAGTACCGGGCACCTGACTGGCTCAGTCGGTACAGCATGTGACACTTGATCTTGGGGTTGTGAGTTCGAGCCCCGTGTTGGGTGTAGAGGTTACTTAAAAATAAAATCTTAAAAAAAAAAGTACAGGAGATATAAGGAAATCATCCCATTTGTTACAAACTTGGGATAATAGTTCTTGTTTTTATTGGCGGTTTGTTAATTTTGCTTACAATACAAATGAGAAACAAAAAACCTTAAGCTTCCTAAACATAAATGTTTATGTGAATGACTACAAGTGAAAATATAAAAATCTCCTTTGCTCTTGTGTTTGTAATGCAGCACTGTAGGAAGAATACAAGCTTTAGAGTCAGACAGACCAAGTTTGAACTCTGGCTCTGACAATGATGAGCTACGTGAATCTGCTTAATTCTTAACTTCTCTCATCTTCGGTTCCCTCATCTGAAGAATACAAACGATTTGTAGGGCTGCTATACGGATGGGAGATAGATCCTGGGAATGCACTTTACACCAGGTAGGTGATCACAAAGAGTCATTTAATAATGAAAGGAAACGGCTAGCTAGAGAACTGAGTGGGTGTGGGTGGGTGTGCATTGGCCGGCTGCCCTCAGGATTCTGCTACTGGCTGGGTCTCGATCTCACTTCTCCTCTAGCACCCATGTGTTAGATAACTATGGACTGCTGGCCCCTGTCTCCACCGCAGCCCCCCAACCCCCATTTTCCACCATGCTTGGAAAGAAGACAAAGACAGCAATAAAAACCCAAATATTCCCTCAAAACAAAGTAACGCATATAGAGCTAACGCCTCGGTGAAAACCAAAACGAATCACTTAAGGAGCTTTATTCTATCTACAGTGAGGGTAAGAAGAGTGCCACCATTTATTCATTTGATCCTGTTTCTTCCTCACACTATCATAGCATTTCCAAGCAACGTATTATTTATTGCTATTAAGGTATTACGGATTTGCTTTTCTATGTTCAAGCCCCTTTGCATTCACCAGAATGCAGCAGGCCACTATAGCTAAAGCTCCAGGGCCATAAACCTTGTTCAGTACACTAAGATCACTTTAATAATACTCTAATCTTGGAATGCAGTTACAAAGATAGATGATGGCCACTGAGTGCTACTTATAAACAGAAATGGCTCTTACATTATCTTAAAGATGTAAAAACCTTAGCACCTAAAAATGTGTTAAAAAATTCCCATACTCTGCCATTCTATTTTACATACCTGAGAATTTTTTTAGGAACCTGTGATGGAGAAGAATGACTCCTTTTCTTCTTCTCTGAGTCCAGCAGTAACCCATCCTCTGTGCCGTCCTTCTCTCTGACTGCTGCCTGGTCTGCTCTGGCCTTCTGATCCACACTGAGCTGGCTTTGGGTGGGATCACACCTGTACATAAAGACGATGGCTGGCTTCTCACTGGACTCTCCTTTTGCCTCCGTGAACCAGTGATGGCGCTGGACTGGAGGAGGCGGCAGCATGTGGATGACTGTGCCATCCAGGCCCACCAGTTTCCCTTTCTCTCGGTCTTTCTCTTTGTCATCCTCCTCATCTGTTTTCCGGCGGCGGAAGAAGCTTTTAAATGATATCCAGCGTTTAGGTTTTGCATCAGCGGCCCGCCTACTGCCTTCAGAGTGCAAAACCGATTCAGCTTCTGTTGACCTGGTGGGACTGGTTGGCTTGGTCCAGTTGGTGAAATGCCTCTGCAGAAGGTTGCTTGCATGATAAGGGGAGGAAGTAGAACGAGGTGGGGGAAAGGGAGGTGGTGGCTCACTCTGGGGGTTAGCCACGAATTTGGAGAGAGGGGTCGTGCCTGGCTTTGCGAGTGGATCTTTCCGTACTTTGACAGTAGGGCTTTCTGTGGCCTGAGGGGCTTCAGCCTCACCACTGGGCTGAGATGTGAAGAGAGATTTGGGTCGGACTGGTGTACTCTTAGGTGTACTCTTAGCAGCATCGGCATCTGGAGGAACTGCATACAGCTCTTCCACACTGCATGCTTTCGGGCCAGACTGGGGCATTTCTGGAGGAGACTGTGGTGGATGGATGGAAGCCACAATCTGAGAAAGCACTGTGCTCGCTTTCTCCCTGGTGCTGCTGCCGTTGCTCACCATCTGAGATGCCTGAGGGCCTTCTGTTTTGGCCACAGGTTCTTGAGTGGTTCTCTGGATCTTTGTTGGGGAGCTGTGGCTAGAACTATAGCTTTTCTGTGGTGAAGACTGACCTCTGTTAAGACAGCTGTTAAACTCCTGAACCTTCTGAGCCACTGAGCCCCTTTTACGCTCTGTGCTGTTGGAAAACCCTTTGGCTTGGGGACATTCAGCAGGTTTGCCAGTGGTGTTATCAGATGCTTTGCTTTCAGTTTCGATTTCTTCATAAGTATGGCTTATTATACTTGTGGTTTTTTCCTTCACTGAGAGTTCTCCACTTGTTCCGAGAAAACTTTTGTAAATGGCTAGATTGTCATATGCATTTGGATTGATGACAATGGGGACTTTGATGGCATTTTTGGAACTCCGAGCATAAGTCGGCTCGTCATGAATGATAATTGGAAAAGGTGGCATACCAGCATTGTTATAACTATTAAATTTTATCTCGGACAAATTGGGTGACTTCACGGGGATAGTTTTAGAGGAAATATTTGTAGTTGTTGGTGAAGTAGGTGCTGATTTGTGACAGTTTTTCCTCGGAGGGATATTTGGCCCAGTCCCACCACTAATCAATTCCACCTTGGGTACCTTTTGTCGTGGGCTGGTACTGGAAGTCCATACTTCCTGGTATCGTATTGCACTGGAGTTTTGGAAATGGGCACTTGTTTGTCCTGATGTCAGTGTGGGTGATGTGAGTGCGGGCGATGTCACCGGAGAGTTTGGAGTAGAAGATGAGATTTTTGTCTTGGGGCTGTTAACAGGGCCCTCGAGGTGCTCACTGGCCATGGCTGCTGACACGTCCACAATAGTATATGGCTTGCACAACGGCTGTTCCAGATTGACAACTCGGTAAGGCTTTGCTTGCTCTTCTACAGGGACGAGGTTTATGGTCACTGCTTGCCCAGCGATATCGGTAGAGGCTTTACTTTCTTGCTTTTCAGTCTGTACAGCAATCTTGCCATCCTTCTCTTCTAATCGGAGAGCAAGGACTGCTTTGTGTGTTTCTGGAACTTTTATTGAGCTTTTAGGTGCCTGTGAGGAGTCCTTTAACTGATTATTACCAGAGAGATTTTCACAATTGGGCTCCCTTTCCTTCATGTCCTTAGAATCTCCCGGGTTACCAGGAGATATTCCCCCATTACAGATCTTCTGGGATAAACTACTGGCTGTCTCAGAACGTGATTCTTCTGTTAAAGAAGAACCTGGTGACGTAGAGTCAGATGACGCCATGCTCTGAATGCTTCCTGGTCCACAGGAGGCCGCAGAGTTCTCTTCATAGCCATTCAGGATTTCATCATAGCTGTCATCATAGTCTACAGCACAGATTCTCTGCAGAGACTTATTTCGCAGGGGGACCGTATTCCATTTTTTGTCCACAAAGAATCGAACAGGAGACAAAGTATTTGCCCTGAAGTTAGCAAAGCGGGGTTGCCCTCTCATGCGAATCTCCATGGCCAAGAGCTCTTCATCACTCTCATCCCAGCTCTCATGCTCCTCCGCCATGTTACTGAAAAGTACATCTTCTTCACTCTCCTCACCACTAGAGAACTCTGGGTAACAGAACCGGCCCCCTTCATTACTGATCACTTCTGTGCTCCCACTCAGAATCACATGCTTGCCTTGAGTGTCCTTTATCCCGCCCATCATGCAGCTTGGTGGAAGCTTTCTTTCCAGTGATCTTTTATAGCAATCATTTATTCTTCCTAAGAACATTTCTCTGGAGTTTGTTTCACTTCCTCTTACCTGAGGGGTGGTATCCAAGCCTGCTATCTCCTTTAACACATCAGTTAGTCCATTATTGTTATTTGATATCTTCTTGGCACTATCATTATTGCCATAAGGCTTAGGAACATGGCTAAATCCTTCAATGTCATCTTCATTATTATTATTAAGTGGTTTCTGATTCAAGGCCGTCCTGTTTCGGTTCCATCCTATGACGACAGGTTTGTTCTCACAGTGTTCTTGGATACTAAGTTCACCACATACACTCTGCCCATCTGCCACCATCATAGTGGGCTTCACAGCTATAGTGGGTTTTTTAGCCACAGGAGGACGGAAATTTCCAGTGTTCCTCATGCGGTGGTTGTTACTGTGATTGGCATTCGTTTTCACATTGCCATGGGTGATGGGTGCCTTCTCAGGGTCTGGGGGAAGCTGGTGCAAGCTTTTAGGTTTGAAGCAGTTCTTGCATTCACCAGGTTTCCAAACGTGTTCAGTAAAGGTGTTACAAGCAGACATTTTTAAAAAAGGACCTTCACAGACAATGCTTCCCTTTCAGTGCATGGTAAAACTTTCATCCATCAGTCTTCACCTCCCCTAGGCATCACAGCAGCTCTTGTAAGTATGATCAATCTGTGGGGGGTGGAAAAGAAAATCTAAATGGAAAAGGCACTATAAGGCATATCATGATGACTTAACAACAACTGGCTCCACTCCTCAACTTTTCCTTATATTAAAAGATTGAGAGAGAAACTAATTTGGCCACTTTTTGAATTCCCTTTAGCCAAGCAGCATTTTGGAAAGTTTGTTTTGCAGCCGTAATTTTGTACCCCCTCATTGAACTATATATAATCTTTCCCTTGATGTCTATGTGGCAATGATACTGTGACCTTGCCCTCTGGGAGTGACTGTGAAACTGCTTTTTAATATCTACCAACTTGTATGACACTTCTTAGTCCACTGAGGGTTCTTCTTCTACCTACCTTTTTGATTTTGGGTATCTCATAGACTCCTCAATCTCGATGCATTCAAAATGAATCCTTTGGCTAAACCCTTTTCTCAACTCTGGGAAACTTTTCTACTCTAACCAGCCCTCCCCTCTACTCCCCAGGCCACCTCCTTCCTCTGCCTTTACCCTATTTCAGTTATTGTCACTATCCTCTACTTACATAGCTAAGCTCAATTACTGACACTCTTTCCTCACTTCTAACTCCGTATCTAACTCCTTAAATTAGTCTTGCCAATTTGATCTATTACATTTCATTGGAACTCTTTCTTGCCATTACCGGCCCCCGCAAGTAGTTCAGAGACTCACCATCCTTTGCCTAGATTCCTGCAATAGGCTAATTAACGGTCTTCATGCCTGCAGTCTCACCCCATTCCAATCCAATCTCTTTACATTTGCTACTCAAAGTGTGGTCCTCAGACAAGAAATGTCAGCCTCGTTTGGGACCTTGTTAGAAATGCAGTATCTCAGGTACAACCTTAGATCTACTGGATCAGAATTCATATTTAACGAGATTCTCAGGCGATTCTATTGTTCTCTGTACTACTATCAAATTTTTCCTTTCTAAAATGCTAATATGATCAACTTACTACCTAGCTTAACTATTCTGTGGCTCAATCTTACCTAATGCACTGACTCCCAAATGTCAGTGTGCAGACTAGGGGTTGCCAGCTAAATAAGAACCGCTCAGGGAAGCACCCTAGACCCACCTAGTTAATCTCTGAGGGAAGAGTCTAGGAATCTGATTTCTTAATAAGTTCTCCAGGTAAGTTCTATGTGCATTAAGGTGTTGGAACCTCTGAGTTATAGGATGGGATATAAGCCCCTTAGGTTTTCATGATATGGTCCTTGCCTCCCTTCTAGCCTTATGTCTTAACAATCAACTAGTCTTACACTGTAAATCCCCCTGGGCTACTTGTTTCTCCTTGGTACTATCAAAGCCACTTAGACATAACCTCCATGAAGAAGCACTTTTATTTTTAATTGTCTCCCCACAAATTTTTGAGCTTCTTCAAGGTCTGGGCTATATCTTATTCATCTCAATATGTCTAGCATAAGGAGCTGAATAAATACTGGTTGACTAAATGTGCTGGTTTATTTAAAAAAACGAATCTTATGACTTTCTCTCTTGTCTTAGGCACATAGCTGCAGACTTTCCCACAGAACATCACTACAGTGTTACACTTCTAATTTGGATATTATAATAAAGTTGGCAGTGGGCATGTACATGTAAGAACTATTTTAATGGCTGAAGAGTTTAACTTTATTCATGAACAAGGACAGCAACAGGATCCTTGGTTTGGTCAGAAATGCAGTCTTTTTGCTGAGCTTCAGCACATGAAGGAAAGAATATTTTCTTTAGCTCGCAGGTGTGCATGCATACACCTGCACAGACAGAACTAAGTCCCTTGTGAATAATATTCATAAAGTACTCTGCCTCAGTGGAAGAAGTACAGACTTAAAGATAAAGTATTCCACACAAGAGAGCACAACAACCTGGCCAAAACCCAAGTCCATTCTTTGCTGGAGATCATCAAATGCTTCTTTTCAATATGGTTAAAATATATTTTTCAAGTGTTTGTTTGAAAACATTTATTTAGTCTTTCTGATATTCTAAAAGCTATTCCTTAGTTGATAAAACCATTTCCTGCTAGTCTGAGATTGGAACGTTTTAAGCAAGGGGAAGAAAGGCATAAAATTAGGCTGAAAGGGAGAGCAGGGTCCAGATCATGCAGGGCCATTTAGGCTTTTAAAGATTACAGGGTTTATCCAAAGAGGAGTGGGAAGCCACTGAAGGGTTTTAAATAGGGGAAAAACATGATCCAATTTGCATTTTAAAAAGACAGCTTTAACCAAAAAACATGAAATACTTAGGTATAAATCTAATAAAATATGTGCAAAATCTACAATCTCTATGCAGAAAACTATAAAACACTGATAAAAAGGTATCAAAGACTTAACTAAACGGAGAGAAATACCAAGATCTCTCAGTATTCTTAAAGTGTCAATCTCTCCCAGATTGCTCTGCAGATTCAACATAATTCTAACAAAATCCAAGCAGGATTTTTTTTTGTAGAAATCAACAAGCTAATTCTAAAATGTATTCAGAAAGGCAAAGGAACTAGAATAGCCAAAGCAATTTCAAAAAAGAACAAAGTTGGAGGATGCCCCCCTTACCTGACTTCAAGACTTAGCATAAAGCTACAGTAATCCTGACAAGGGGGTATTGGCAAAGGACAGAAACATAAATGGGGGAAGTGGGGCAAACAAATACCAGCCTGGAGGCTGAATCTAGCCTGTCCCCTGTTTTTATATGTCCCAAAGCTAAGGATGCTTTTAAAATTTTTAAGTGATGACAAAATTCAAAAGAATGGTATTTGGTGACAAGTGAAAATTATATGGAATTCCAAATAGAGTGCCCATAAATAAAGCTCTACTGGAACATAGCCAGGCTCATTTGTCTCCATATTGTCTGTGGTGGCTTTTTGCTATGATGCAGAGCTGAGTGGTTCGGACAGACTGCATGTGGTGGCACACGCATCACTTCCCAGTGCTTTTCAAGCACTCTACAGACCAGCATTTCTACTGCTACAGGTATCACCCACGTGAAAAGACATTTTTCAAAGATAAAAATATGGCAAATTTCACATTAATAAGTGAATTTTATAATAAAGTCTGAGAGGAAGCACTAACTTAGCAACCTAGTTAAGCAAAATATTATCCCTCTCCCAAAAAAGAGTTCCATTCTTTGGATTAGTAGAGCTGCATTTCAGAAAACTGTACTCAATTATTACATTTTGAATTTTGTTTGAAAAATTCATAGAAATTTGTTTTCTCTTATTATACAAGTACTTACACAATACCTTCAATTTTGCCTTTTGGCCTGCAAAACCTAAAATATTTACTATCTAGTTCTTTACAGAAAAAGTCTGCTGATCTCTGATATAGATCAAAACAGACACAGAACAGAACAGAATCCAGAAAGAGGACAATACAAATATAGGCAACTGATACTTGCCTACAGCAGTGAGTATTCAACAAATGTGCTAGAACAACTGGATATCCATAGGCAACAAAGTAAATCTCAATTCATACCTCACACCTTGTACACAAAAATTAACTCAAAATGGATCACAGAACTAAGTATAAAGTGTAAAGCTATAGTACTTTTAGGAGGAAAAAACAGGAGAAAATCTTTGTGAACTTGAGTTAGTCCAAGTTCTCAGATACAACACAAAAAGCACAATCCATTAAAAAAATGACAATTTGGATTTTATCAAAATTAAAAATGTTTGCTCTGACAAAGATACTGATAAGAGAATGAAAAGACAACCTACAGATGAGACTTTTTTGCAAAGTACATATCTGACAAAGGACTTTGTATCCAGAATATACGAAGAACTTCCAAAATTCAATAAAAAGAAAACAAATCTTATAAAAAATAGGCAAAAGGTTTGAGCAGACACTTCACCAAAGGTATATGGTTTGCATATAAACATGTGAAAGATGCTAAATATCCTTAGTATTACAGAATGCACATTAGAACTGCAATGAGCTACCTCTATGCATCCACCAGAATGGTTAAAATGCAAACAAACAGGAAAACTGATACTAGGGAAGATGTGGTACAACAGAAATTCCTATGGTGCTGGTGGGAATGCAGATGGCACAACCACTTTGGAAAACAGATTGGCAGTTTCTTATAAAGTTAAACGTAAGCCATAGGACCCAGCAGGCTCACCTCTTGGTATTTACCCAAGACAAATGAAAAGTTATGTTTACACTAAAGCATGTACACAAAGGTTTATAGGCAAAAACTGGAACAATTCAAATGTTGTGCGGTGGTGGCTAGATGACTACATGTATTTGTCAAAATTCATAGAATTCTACACTAAAAAAAGATTTATTACTGTATATAAATCAAATCTTAATACATCTGACTCAAAAATAAAAGACAGCTCTGGCTGCTGTATGGAGAACAAACTGGGGAGAACAGGACAGGAAGCCAGGAGACTGTCCAAAGGGCTGCTATGGGCAAAATAAGGTATGATGAGGATCTGAATTAGAATGTGGCATCAGGGAAGGAAGAGAAATGTAGATGCATGAATGACTAGATTCTGGAGAGAGTAATAGATGTTGAGATTTTGGGGTTATGTATTTAAATGATTTGTGGGGTCATTTACTGAGATAGACAATGTTGGAGGAGGTGTAACTTTTAGGGAATAAGGTTAGCAGTCCATACTTTGTTACCATATAATAGAGGAAGCAGTTGAATTTAGAAGTCTGGAATACAGAAAGGAATTCTGCCGTTCTTGTTTGTTTGGGAATTACTATAGGAATATCTAGGCTAAAAAGAAACCAGAGTGAGCTAGGAGGTGGTCTTGGTGGGTAAACCAGGGAGAAGAGAAGAACCCCTACAGAAAACTCAAAAATAACAGTCATAACGGTGATGATACAGAAGCCAGATGAGGAGATTTCATTAAGGGGGGAGAAGCCAACTATTTCAAATGCTGCTGACAGTTAATGAGGAATGAGGACCTAAATGTGCCCACTGGACTTGACAACATGGGCTCATTGGTGACTTTAGCTTTAACTATTGTGGTGTAGCAGTGGGGATGGAAAGGAG